TTCCCCCCCCCCCTCCCCTTCCATTTCCTTTTTGTATCTATTTTCTAATTGTTTTTGTTCCTGAGGGGGTTTGACCTCCAGATTTCACTAATTTAGGATAAATATCGTCTCCTTGGTCAGAGAAGACTTGAACCAGACGTCCTCCGGCCCCAACCTGGACCTTAGGATAGACCTCCTCAACTTGGTCCTGGGATAGAACCTGGACCAGACGTCCTCCAGCCCCAACCTGGAGCTTAGGATAAATATCATCCAGGGAAGCTGTTACCACAGCTGAGTTAAGCTGATGGTTCATCTGTGCAGAGACTTGAGTTGACAGCTGGGACAGCTGGTGCGATGATAGTTGTTGGGAAAGTTGTTGTGATGACAGCTGTTGTGACAGCTGCTGTGCCAGTTGTTGCGATGATATCTGTGAGTTTGATCTTTGTTTGATCAGCTGAGGATAGATTTGATGTCCAGATATAGGAGAGGATCGCTGGAACAGTATAGTAGGATAATCCTGATAAGAAATGTAATGAAAGAAAATGTAGACAAAATTTCAAGTCATTTCCTCTTAACCTCTGTCAGATAAAAAATAAATGAGATATCCAAGTTTATCTAGCTAAAAATATATATTTTTTTCAATTGGGATTTCTTTAAAAGTGACTTTCGGACTAAAGCAACAGATATAAAAGATGGAAATACTTAGATTTTTAAACGTTTCTAGATAGAAAACGACAATATCTTTCTCATTTTTGTAAAAATGAAGGGTTTAAAGGGTACCATTGTGAATCAGAAATGCCACTCTATACATGGATGCGCTATGGAATATGGATCTCTGGACCAATATTTTAGGATATATTTCCCTTAGTTTACATTGGATCTTAACCTCTGTCAGATAAAAAATAAATGAGATATCCAAGTTTATCTAGCTAAAAATATATATTTTTTTCAATTGGGATTTCTTTAAAAGTGACTTTCGGACTAAAGCAACAGATATAAAAGATGGAAATACTTAGATTTTTAAACTTTTCTAGATAGAAAACGACAATATCTTTCTCATTTTTGTAAAAATGAAGGGTTTAAAGGGTACCATTGTGAATCAGAAATGCCACTCTATACATGGATGCGCTATGGAATATGGATCTCTGGACCAATATTTTAGGATATATTTCCCTTAGTTTACATTGGATCTTTGGACCAATATTTTAGGATATATTTCCTCTTGTTTACCTTGGATCTCTGGACCAATATTTTAGGATATATTTCCTCTAGTTTACCTTGGATCTCTGGACCAATATTTTAAGATATATTTCCTCTAGTTTACCTTGGATCTTTGGACCAATATTTTAGGATATATTTCCTCTAGTTAACCATGGATCTCTGGACCAGTATTTTAGGATATATTTCCTCTAGTTTACCTTGGATCTCTGAACCAATATTTTAGGAGATATTTCCTCTAGTTTACCTTGGATCTCTGGACCAATATTTTAGGATATATTTCCTCTAGTTTACCCCCGGATCCGGATAAACTAGAACCGGATCTCATCATCTTAGGATACACCTCATCTCCCTGAATAGAAAAAGGGATTGTTAAGATATTTGAGTGATGTGGGAGGTATCAATTATTAAGAAGAGAACTCTTAATTTTAAAGTAAGAACTGTTGTTTCTTGCTTTTTCAATTTCTTTTACAACAGAAAAATGTCGGATTTGTTTTGGTATCCGACTCTGGATCCCCATAATTTTACGGATCCAGATTTTGTTCCGAATTCTTAGCACTGTGATTCTCTATACCGGTTTGAACTTCGTTTTTAGGCCGCTTTTTAAACATTTGGGTTCATTTGACATTCAAGAATCTCCTTAAGAAACTGCGATGCTTATTGCATATCTCATTTCAAGGTTGTATGTTTCGGTAAGTTTGTTTTTGTTCCTATGCTAAATATTCCTCTGCCAATTGTTTTGGTTTATATCTTCGTTCAGAGAAAAAAAAATGCATAATACGTAAAAAAGCCAACTATAGAAGATACCATTTTGCAACGGGTTTAAACCTTTTGGAGCACCTTTAAAACCTCACAATCTTGAATGTTTTCAAGAGAACTTCAAAACGATGCTTATCAGAACCTGTTTGCTAGTCTCGAGGTCATATTACTCAGTTGTGATAAGTATCGAGTTTATATCTATATATACACTTTGCTCGTCTGTCTATTTGTTTGTATTCAATTAACGTCAAAACGGCTGAACCAAACGGGCCCAAATTTTGTGTAGGACCTCACATAACCACAGGGACGGTTTAAGGATGATCGAAATTTAAAAAATTTGCCTCTAGGCTCAAACTAAATTCGATTTTGAAAATCACGATTTTTTTATATAAAACCCGGAAATTTTTTTGTTAGTTTTTGTTTAACAATGTATTCAAAGAGAACGTGTTCACAATTAAAATAGATTATGGGCGGGAAGCGCCCTAAAACCCTTGTTGTTTTATATTGTTTTTCATTTCCTTAATTTTTTCTCCCTTTTATAAAGAGTAAATTATCAACATTTCCTTTTCTGAGTACCTTAAAATCCTTTTTTTATTGCTTGTCAAATACACAAATGTGTGTGAATGTTTAATTTGGTATAATTTGGTTTAATTAAGTGAAGTGCTTTGTATGTGCCTTATATGCTTTTCGATTATAAAATCACTTGATAAAGTTTGTATCAGCATGATTGTAATTAATGTATGTGAGCATTTTAAACGAAATATAGATTTAAAAAATAAAAGTACCTGTATCTGTGATATGGAAACTCCTCTGTCTAGTTGCATTGAGAGCTGATTTATCTGATTATCCAGTCCAGTAGTTGCAGTTGATACACGGGAGGATGATCTGGAAATTAATCATATTTAACTAGCTTGGGAACCCAGCTCTTCCTGGAAACTAAACCCGCTCAACTTAGATTTACAACAGAACCATTGAAACCTTAATCTGATCTAAAATGTGGAATACAATACGTCGTTTTTTTAAATTAAAAAAATGCTAATTGTTTGATTTTCTCAACATTGTTTCTACTTTCTTATAGGTCAGAAATGTGTCACTTTTTCATAGGAACCACAAATGAAAAAAAATGACCAGACAAAGCTGGGTACCGTTGTAAATCGAGCATTGTCATCTTTGCCTGGAGGGTGACTTAAACATACGCTTACAGTCCAACTAACGTAGAGCACGACGAATTTTTTTTAAAAATTCCCTGAATTGATATACCTGGATAATGAATCTGTGGTAACTATATGATGATATCCTGTGTAGGGCGGAGGGGGAGGGGAGGCCACATAATTCTGGGGAGGGGAGGATACATAGCTCTTGGA